GAGCAGGCGCGGACAGGTTGGGTTTATGCAAAATACAACAGAACCCAAGCTGAGCACACCCAAAAATTCTGTGCACTCGATGGTAAATTTATTTGCACTTCTGTGGATATTTTGTTTATTCACGAGTTTTCGGCTCGTGTTGTGGCGCATTGCCGGCGATGATTTTTATTCAAATGACACACGTCGAACGTGGGAGGACGCATTGCCATTGGGTGCCTATTTAAACAAAATACTTATAGGCGAATGGCATCCTTTGGCAAATATTGGCGTTAGAGCCTGCTTGAGAAGAAGGCGCTATGAAAAGAAATACACGCCCCCGTCAAAATGTTTAATGTTTCGCGAAATGCGTTGTATATATACATTGGGCGTACGTATATAAGTGTATATATATATTTAGGGAGCTGTTGTTAAGGATGTGCTCGGTGGCCCAAAAGTACCTGTACTTGTCACCGGGCGACAGGGCCATGAATAATGCCTGGACAGGCACAGAGCTGCTGAATAATACAATAATACTCGACACGAGTTGACTTGGCCGGGAATTCGATCTGGCCCGCATTCGCAATTCGCTGGCATGTCAGCCTTTAGCACAGCCATAAATATTTTCAGTTAATTTCAATTACAAGCTGTGCAAAACGTGCTGCTGCTTTTGGCCTGGCTCTGGCCCGGTTTTGGCCCGGTTAGCCCGGCTCGAATGTGCGTGTGTGTGTGGTCATAAAATTTGATGCGTGCCCTATCGAAGCGACGTAGCTATCTATTATAATTTAACGCAAAGCCGCTAAAACTTTCATCGGGGCGTCAATCAATCAACGACAAGCGCACAAATTAAATGCAAACTAAGACAACATAAAACCAGCCAAACGGACAATCAGTCAAGAGTCAAGCGCCAGGAGATTGGCCAACTGCAATTGGCCCACCGCCTGCCGCCAATTAACTTTCCAATTCTCTCAGTTCCCATATAAGCCAACAAAGTGTAGCATCATCAAATCGCCGCCCGCCCAGATTAGATACCGATAACGCCGTCAACACGGCGAACCCATCTGGTCGGCGCACGCCTCCTCTCGAGTCTGGACTATTAACTGCTTTCGACTTTTGTGGTCTGTAATGATTTATTTTTTCGACCTCTCAAAAAGCATTTCTGTGTTGGCGGCTTACATTTGTAACGGGCTTAATTAGCCAGCTAAAGGATATGGCAAATGTTGTCCAAATGCAGTTGGCAGTTGCTCGCACAACTTTTTAGAGATTCACAACGTGCAGGGGAATATCAATTTTTAAAAGGTCGCTCGATAGAAATATTCCCAGAATATAGTCGAGTATCAGACATTTTATAGCATTTTAGGGCGATTATCTTCGGTATGTCGAAGATGGAATACCCTTCTAGAAATATGACATGGGGTGTACTTTATTTACCATTACCATTTATGCCAGTTAAAGTAATGTGATAAAGTATGTTATAAGAATAATGAAGCGCATAAATGATGAGCTTGCTTAAGATACATTGAAAAAGAAGTTCGAACGCTTTCGAGCAATTCTATTGAGAGAGGGAGAGAGAGAGAGAAAGAGAGAGAGAGAGGGAGAGAGAGGGAGAGGGAGAGAGAGGGAGAGAGAGGGACAGAGAGAGAGAGAGTGCGAGAGAGATTGTTGTCGTTGTTGATAAAATATTGCCTATAATTAGGCAACACGATAGAACTTATCTTGAAGACCAGAAAGGTTTTTCACGCACGAACTAATATTCTAGCGATTCCATATATAAGTAGACTGAGATGATATAATAGTCCGTTCGAAGTCTCCAAATTTGGCAAAGATATCTTGAAGAACATAAATGTTTGTCATACTAGAACTTAACCTTTGTTTGATCTAGACAAAGAAGCTAGGCTGGAACTTAAGAGTCACTTGTATAATGTGGGTTAAGTTGACAGAAAAGAGCATCTAAAATGTTCATAATTTGTTTGCTGTAGAGTATACACGTACTCAAATGCACTGCAACTGATTTCTCTTGCTGAACTCATAAGGGTTATGCGATTAAGTATTTCATATCCATGCAAACGCATAAGTTGAACCTCTTTAGCGTCAAGTGCCAACAGAATGCGAAGCCGCTTAGCGTCACATTGTCTTTTCCGGCCAAGTGTTGCTTGGCGGAGGGTGGCGCGGGTGTGGTAAGTGCAATTCGCAGCCACTTAAGTTGTTGAGCAAACATGGCCACAAGCTTTGCTATCATTATATCGTTTTAAGGCACGATGAGTGCACGCACACATGTGCAGCGCGTAAGGAGCTGCAAGTTGTGCGTACTACGTGGCGTATGCGTATTATCATCGCACTTGTTACCGCCTGCCGCGAGCTACCTCAGCAACTGGCACGAGCAACAGCAACACATTAATAGGCCATAAATTGTAACTGTTATGCGTTGTTGGCTTTTAACGCAGCAGGCTGGCATTCGGCCTGACACTGAACTTTTGGCCACCGTCGGGAGTTGAGTGCCGCCTCCGACTGTGCTCCATCGCCTTTCAATTAGAGTGGTTATTTAGCTAAATCGTTACGCTTGTTGCTGTAATTTGAGACGTGGGCGGAAATGATTGCCAGCACACCGAAAAAAAATAATAATAAAACAAAGCATTGCGATGAGCACCCGCGGTGCCCCCTGGGAGAATGCCCAATGCGGCTTTAACTTACTTGCTGCACGCATTCCTTACACACTTTTTAAATTTTTCCACTTTTTCTCTTTTTTTTTGCTATTCTTTGCCAGGACAATGAAGAGCTGCGTCTGTGGGACACACGGCATGGCCCTGCTGCTGCTGCTGTTCTGGTGCCGCACCAGCTGCAGTCAGGCCGCAGCCGGCGGCGGCAACAACAATGAGCTGGCCGCCACAGGTCTGTCCGACCAGGTGCTGGAGCAGCTGGACGACAATGAGCTCTACGGCAACAACAAACGCGCCTGGCAGTCGCTGCAGAGCGCCTGGGGCAAGCGCTCCAATGAGCCGCGTCCTCTCGAAGTGGATGACTCCATATACATGACGGGACACTTTGTGCCGCTGGTCATAACCGACGGCACCAATACCATAGACTGGAACACCTTTGAGCGCCTGGCCAGTGGCAATCAGGAGCAGCAGCAGCAGCTGCAGCGGCAACAGCAGCCGGCACAGTCCAATGAGGAGTCGGATGATCTGAGCGCTGAGAACACAATCGATAAGCGTGCCTGGAAGAACATGAACGTGGCCTGGGGCAAGCGACGACAGGCACAGGGCTGGAACAAGTTCCGAGGTGCCTGGGGCAAGCGCGAGCCCACCTGGAACAATCTGAAGGGCATGTGGGGCAAGCGCGATCAATGGCAGAAGCTGCACGCGGGCTGGGGCAAGCGCTCGCTGGCCAACTAAGCCCACAGCGCCGATCAGTCGATATAGGCAAATAGAACCATGCAGACAAACCAACATAATATATGATATAACTAGCAAAACCTAACTGTGTATAACAATATCTATATATATATATATATAACATATATAAACGAACTAGTACGTGCAACTCTTTTCCCATTGAGATTCTCGATGTTCTAAGATCCTTGTGGCAGGAAGTGGAGTTCAATTCCGAAAATGTATGAAAGCGCTCGCCAGCAACAAAAACAAATAAAAATCAAAAACAAACTTAAAACTAAATTATAAATTTGTTTGCATATGTACTTGTGTATTTAAATGTGTGTTTTCGGTAGCCCAGTATTATAAACATAACCAAGCATTAAATATATACTAACCGAGCAACCCGAGCTAGTAGTATATAGAGAGGTATATATACACATTTCCGTGCAATACGCATTAAATTCTAGAAAACTTAAATTTAGTTTATCGAATTGTGCATATTTTTTAAATACGTATACATACCAAAGCATACCAAATGGCAATTACTATATATATAAATCCAATTATCAAAATAAATTAAAGAAAATCATTCAATTTATTGCTCGCAATTTATTTTTAATTATATAAGTATTTTATTTTATGAAATATCACTGAAGGTACGAGCTCGGGCTCTTGTTAAAAACTGAATGGACTTCGATGGGGAAAAGGTTGCTCTTGATATCGCATCGAAGGACTTCCTAAAGTCGAAGCCTGAGATTGGAACTTCATGCGGATACTCTTGTTTGGAATATTATAATTGGATCTCGTAATGCGTGACGCTTCGAAAGGGACAGCTGAGTGGTGAATATTCCCACCGCCTGTCTTATTGCGCTCGGAGTCGGCCAGATCGGATCCCTATATCATAGAACTGTTATAATCGGTAGAAAAGAATGTTCTTAAGACCAAGTACTTTAAGTGACCTGTTTAGTATAAATTCTTTATTAAGCTGGCTGGTTCGAGGTCTATATTGGTCTGGCTAGCCTTGTCGCCTTTTTTGCTTATAATTCTCAAGTTGTTATAGCTTCCGACTCAGGATAAGGCCTTGTGAGTCCAGAATTTGTTTTTATGAAAAGAGCTTAACTATTTTAATGTTGAAAATCAGCTTTTACAAGTCTGACAATGCCTATCAAGCCGGTCTGCTATATCCTATATCGAAACAATCGGTGGAAATAAAGCTTCTCTATAAAACCCATTCCTATGCCAGCTCCTAGGCTCTTAGGGTATTAAATCTTCAGCGTGCCGAATATATAAGTTCCTTCTTATTGATCCTTATATCTGCCCTCTTTTGCAATTGTTTGTAGAAAACAAAAAATAAATTAAAACTTTTTGAGAGAAATTAAAAGGAGGCTTTTAAATTTTAATTCATTAATTAGTTTTCCTGCCACTTGACATTAATAATAAATACATCTAGTATTGTTTATTGTTTTGATGACCATTTCAAAGCAAATGTAAAATATGCATACGAATCGTGAATAATGAATGTCTATTTAAGTGCAATTTAGTTCTCGACAGCAATTAAATGCTAGCTAATTAGCAGCTTGGCGTCAGGTATAAATACAGGTGGATATAGATGTCTTGGGTGGATCACAGTCCATTCGGGAAAGCACCGCCGCCATGCGCTATCAGCCACGACTTCGGAATGGAAAGGCTGCGCCGTTGCCCTGGCCGCTGGCCATGTACCGTCGCCTCAATCATATCGCCTGGCCGCTGGAGGATGGGGCCAGTCGGCGTATGGTGCTCGTAGAACGGCTGCTAATCTTTGTGGGATTTATCATATTCTGTGAGCACAACGAGGTGGACATGCATTATGTGCTGGCCTATCGCAACGATATTGATAAGATGCTGACGGGTGTGCCCACATATTTGGTGCTGTTCGAGATGCAGATACGCGGCTTTCAGCTGGCCGTCACGAAGGATTCGTTCAAGCAGCTGCTGCAGAAATTCTATGCGGACATGTATGTGAGCCAGGAATCGGAGCCAGTGAGATTTGCTCGCATCCAAAGGCAGATGCTGGGCACGCGTCTCAATTCGGTTGTATATTTAATGGCACTGTTCAATTTCTCGCTGGTGCCCGTGCAGAATGTTATCTATCATCGACGAGAGATGCTCTACCAGCAGGTTTATTTATTTGACAATACAAAGCTACAGTACTATATACCCCTGATCTGTGCCAACTACTGGGTGGGCATTATCATTACCACGATGCTCTTTGGCGAACTGAATATCCTGGGCGAGCTGATGATGCATCTGAATGCCCGCTACGAGCTGCTCGCCCGGGATCTGAAGCAGGTGGCCAATGCGCTGCTGGTGCACGGACATCCAGCTAAAATTGCAGCTCAGTATCGTTGTGCACTGATTGAAATATTGCGTCGAAATGCTGCTCTGAATCGCTTTGGCCAGGAAATGGAGCTGGAATTCAGTTTTCGTATATTTATAATGTTTGCCTTCAGTGCTGCCCTACTCTGTGCCATGGGCTTCAAGGCTTATACGGTGGGTATAAAATACATAATGATAAAAGCCAACATTTACTCTTCTTTCTCTAGAACCCAGCGGGTAATATTGTGTATATCGTTTGGTTTACAGCCAAATTCTGTGAGCTGCTGGCCTTGGGTATGCTCGGCTCGATTCTCTATGTAACGGTGCGTTCCGTTTGGCCTGATTTTTATTTAATATTTGATTTTATTGAATTGATTTCGCAGACGGATCAATTAAGTGTCATGTACTACTGCTGTGACTGGGAGCAGGTGATCTACAAGTCGAGCAATGCTCAAGAAAATGTGAAACTTATGAAGCTAGTCACAATGGCCATCGAGATAAACTCACGGCCATTTTACCTAACTGGCCTAAAGTATTTTCGCGTTACGCTGGTCGCAGTACTAAAAGTAATTTACAGAGCTCTTTTGAAGGCTCCTTTTAATTAATGTTTTATATTTTCAGATAATACAAGGTGCTTTCTCGTACTTTACTTTTCTAACTTCGATGCGTTAAGGCCGGTCGCATAAATTTGCTTACATTATAAATTTAACGTTTGGCGCGCGCCACATATGGTTTCATAGCAGCCAGCTTTGCAGCACCAATGCAATTGTAGAGTGACCACACGCACAACATATCGATAAGATAGAAATATATTAAATAAAATATTTTTGATATGTACACACTTGTTAAGTCCGCCAAATTACGGCATTATATTTTAGGCAATACGCATTGTTATATTTGCCTTAAAACATGAATTTCTCTAGCAATAAATGGTAAAGTACATTGAATTAGTAACTAAAACATGGTTATGTATACGGCTTGATTAATTGCAGCTCTCCAAATTATCGCAGTTCCGTCGCACAGCCCAGACAAAACACGCAAATGTCTCGTGTCAATGTGCGCGAGAGTTTGGAGCTGCGGCGACGACGTGCTGAGGCCAAAAACTATTTGAAATGGGGTTTCATCAACTTAATCATGATAGCACTGATCTCATTTGATCTCTGGCAGACATGCCTCTCGGCCAGAACCACCTTCTGGTACCAGGCGGAGTACACACTCGCCGTGTGCGTCTTCATGAGCGCCACCGCCTGCATCGGCAAGTACATCTGGTGGCTGATGGTGGACAGCGGCCCGGTGTGCGTCACGGAGCTGCAGCGGTGTCTGCTGGACGAAGGCAATGGTAAGCGATTGCATTTCTGACTATAATTTGGTAGCATTAAGTGCATTCTGATCACTTGGTTCAACTCTGCTCCTCACTGGGCAAACGGAATTTGTTGCCATACGCTCCAAGAAAGTCTCAGCCTTTTTTATAAGTGAATAATCCTCTTGAACGTCACTGGAACACAGAATTTACAGCTCTGTCCACTGTATTTCTATTCAGATATACAATGCTCTTCCCTCGCCTTAAAGCTCTCATTTCTTAAATCTCAATGATCTGACATACCATCTGAGAATGGAATATGGGACAGCGCCATATGGAAAAGGAAACTTAAAGCCCTTCGTCTAGGAATAGGAAATATCATCATTTCACAAACGATAATTCTCAAATATAAAGGATCTGACACCAGGTGAAAGTCTTGGCCTGTTTAAAACTGGACAATCCTTGAGATTATTTTATGGACTTGTCATTGGAAATCGGAACTTTTTGTCCACTCACATTTTATGCAGAAAAGCAATGCATTTCCCGGGCTTCAAAGCTCGACTTCTAACATATGGATCAAACTCTCTGGGCAATCCTTCGATCTCAACGCAACGTCTGCAATTTTCTTTTAGAAAGCCTGTGATATTCCGAAGTTAGTTTAGGCTCATGTCCACACATTTTTCGGTTCGTTTCTTTGCACATTCAGTCCAGGAGTTTTTGGTTATTTCTGATCCAGCATTACTTGCTGACTATCTGCGTTTCCTCTCAAGCTTCACGGTTTTATATAACCCGGCCCTAGACCAAAAAATGGTTCGGGCTCGCAGAAGCGTTTGCTTATATCCAGATTGGCCTTCTAACCAACAAATAGCTAATCTCTAAGTCCAGCCCAGCTCATTTTGAAAGCCGACGCACCACCCTTCAAAGTCAGACATGATCCAGCACGCACTAATTCCTTGTTCTAGAAGATGTCCCCATAAACGTAGCTCTATTTCAAGTTAAAGATGCACACCTCTCTGGGAAACACTAGCATACAATGAAATCTTTATTATGCATTCAGATAATACATTCAAGGCTGTGAACAATATGTCGAAGCCGCGCGCCTACGAACCGAATTGTGATGAATTGGATACTGGACCCATTATCAACTGGCATTCTTCGTTTGAGGACTCACGCTGGGGCACGCAGTCACCACGTCGCAGTCCTAGTCCGATGCGCACGCCGCACCAACAACAGAAGCACCAGCAGCAGCAGCAACAGTTCAACAATCAATCCTTTCACAATCAATCTTACAATAATCAATCGTATAATCGATCCATGGGCGCAAATAACTCACTGAACACCAGTAATGTGAGCAATGAGTCGGTCTATATGTCGCCCTACGCGGAAGTTTGTCGCGACGATTTCCCAACCGATGTGCGCAAGCTGCCGGCACTGATGAGACGGGCAGAGCGGGAACGTGAACGCAGCTATGCCGAGCTGGCCGATACATCAAATATGCAGACCATGGATTCGGGAAACTCATTTTGGAATTACTGCAATAATGCGGCGTATATGCTAAAGCGAACGATCTATCAGCTGGCACCGGCGCCTGTACCCTCCACAGAGAATGCGCCCTCTTCGATTGAGGATTTTGGCTTTCTTCAGTTCAGGGATAGCAACTCGGAGGTCATCAAGCGCATCTCGACGGTCAAGTTGTCGCAATACTTAAGCAATCTGCGATATGTAAGTGCTGGGAGTTTGCCTAAATGAGCCAGGATTTTAATATTCTTTGATATTAGTGGATATCCACAACCATATTGCAGCGCCTAGTCACGCAGATCGATCATATGGACGAAGTGTTCCGCCAACGCGGCCTAAGCGATTTTAAGATCGGCGCCGTCGGTCTGGAGCGTTTGCGCAAAATGGCGGAGAACCAACAGTTTGTGCAGAGCTGTGCACCCATGCTGCCGCTGCTGTTGCCCTTTCTGGACACCTTCAGCAACCAGGAGTATCTGGTGCAGCGCATTAGGGATCTATCGCAGGGCTCCTGCATTGGCGACTACCGCTGGAATTCGGGAAATACACACAACGGACAGGTGTGGGGCGAGCATCTGCCCACAGACGCTGCAGTGAGTGCGACGCGCTTTTTACATCATCCTGGATTCTCCAATATAATCAAATGTCACCTGCCCATTCTAGATATTGTTTCATCTGTTCTGCGTGTACTTGGACAGCCAATTGATGCCCCTGCCACAAGGTGGCGGACGGCCATTCCACTCGCGTTATGTGCTCACACGCGAGGAGAAACGCTCCACCAAGGACATAATAAATGCGGTTAATAACAAAGCACACTGCGCCATACTCGTGACCAACAATCAACTGAAGCCCAAGTTTAATTTCATTAGCGAAAAGGAGCTGCACAATTGCGCCTACGATCGCAACAATTTGTTTTATGTTATCATACAGTTTCTGATTTATATGCGCACACACCAGGAATCGGCGCTCGAGGGCGTCAACTTGGGCAAGAGCGGCATCAACATAATGTGCGTAATCGATGACTGAGGCAGCGATAAAAATTGACTTGGCCATAAAGCAATGGCCGCCACGCTTATTATATATTTTAATTTCTAACGTTTATTGTTACTCGATGGCCCGACAAGCCATAACAAATATTGAGCTATTAAATTATGCATTGTAATTATTAAGTCAATTGCCAAGACAACACAAGCACATCAAATTGTAAACATGTACGCGGTTTTTGCGGTCACAACAGTTGCGGCTACCCAGTGCTCCTCGCTGCTGGCCGCAATGCATCATCATCAAAGTGTCATGTGAACTTTTGAGCATGCACCATCCGTTATTGCTCGTGGTGTAGTGGTTGTTGTTGTTGTTGTTGCTGTTGTACTTGCGGTCATTGCGGTCTGCGCTTTGCCAACAATTAACTTATGCCTCGAACGTCGCCGAAGTCAACCGGACAAATGCCGCAATACACACACCCAAACGAGAATATGTGTGTGGGCGCTTGGGCCTGACCCATCGCGCAGGTGCACAACTTTAATTGCATTTTCATGATTTTCAATATTGTGCTGGTCAATGGCCGTTACACCAAACAGGATACCGGCACGTAGAAAGCAGCACTGACTACGACTGCGGCTCATGTGCTGCAGCAGCTCCAGAGTGACAAAATTAATGGCTTCCGGCAATGAGTGTCGTCATTTTGTTGAGCTTGAGAAAATGCTGCTCCTTGGCCGACAACAGCTGGCATCATGTGCAACTGGAAGTGGAGCTAGCCAGGCGTGCGAATGAAGGAGCGGGGCCAACACACACACACAACATGAACTCGTTGACTACCTCCGGCTGCATACACTTAAGTCTGTCTTTGGCTTTGGAGTCGCCTGCTCGGGCGCGGACAGAGGAGCGCATTACCATTTTTCTTGGCCATGCCCATTTCAGGCAACGCGCTCCGGTTGCTGTTTTCTGTTTCAGCTCTTTGTTCATTTGACGTTGAATCGCTTGGTTGGTTATTTTAATGCCGTCGTTGTAGCTGGCACCTCGGGTGAGTAATGTGCTTGGGTTGTCAACTTTACACTTTTATCCCTCGCATTATATTTGCTTTACCTACACACACACACACACACACACACCCTCGCCTCGGCTGGGTGATATGTTTTCTTGATACTTTTTCTCAAGTTGTAAATTGGCTTAAAAATAATTTGTCAAAGCATTTCAGCGTACACGGCGCTGGGGTTCGGTGTCTCGTGCGACGCCTATGAAGCTGCTGCTGCTGCTCCTGTCGCTCGCCATTTTCTTTGCCAAATTGTGTGTCGGACCCCGTTCCATGAGACGTTTGAAATTTCTTTTTAAGGAAACGCATGTGCGCTTCTTCATATCCAATTAGAAAAGTTTTCCTTCGACTGCACCGTAATTGTGTTGATTAGTGCGGCTCGCTGGCTTTCCACACAGGCAGCAGATGGATTTCAGCTCTGGTCCGTTGCCCGTCTGCCTGGGAACACTTTAAAGGCACTGGGCGCCTTTCGATTGCTACATTCAATAGGCTATATGCCTTGCCCCTTCCTACGGAGGCTTACACAAGCTTCGATCGAATATTATTCGGCCAGTCACTTAGTGGGGGCTCAGCTACTGCCCAAAAAAAACATGCTGCCATCCTCCACGCTGTCCTGGCGTCGCTTTAGTCCTGCAAATGTTTGTACACAATAAACTGGCTAGTGGCAAAGCTTTTACTTTTCGGCTTTCCTTTTTTTGCTGATTATTTATTTTTACTTTCGTATGCCCTGTAATTCGAACTTGGCAAGGGTATAAAAACCTAGCTATGTGTGTGTGTGCCTATAAAGTGGAAGATGAAGAGGGTTGTCCAGCAGGACCTTTGTATCAATATATTAAATAACTGAGAATAAGACTAAAATGTAAGTTATGAATATATTTAAGGGCATATAATCTTTCAATTACAACTATTAACTTTGGCTCAGTTAAAGTTTATAGATTTAAATGTTTGGAAATCTTAACAGGAAAATATTATGGCCATATTCTGCTCTGTTTCACCTGCAAAAGGTGTAAAAAATATGCTTCCATTTTCATAGATATATCTCAGTTCGAACTATTTTAAAAGCACTTCCAGGGCACCTGCTAGTCGGGCACAGCTCTTCGTTTTTTTTTTTACTTGTTTTCCATCTACTCCTCGTTTGGGGCACATTAATGAACAAAATATTTTTCCTATTATGCGCCAATATGGTTGGCCATATTTCGGTTTATTTAATTTTGCGCAAATAAAACGGAAGTGGCATTTTTATTTTTACCATCGTCTAGGTGGCTCACGCTCCCGCTCCCGCTTCCGCGCCCGCTTCCAATCCCATTCTTATGCCCACATTCTCGTGCTCTTGCCCGTTCTTGATCCTGTCTCATATTTGTGCGCGCTCCATAAAATTCTGATGTGAAGCCAAACAAACTTGCGACAATGATGATAATGTCGATGCTTAAATGTTCAACAAATATTTGGCGCTGTTTTTTTCGGTTTTTTTTTTTTTTTTAAACAAGCAATTTGTGTAGTGCAGACGAAAGAGCTTTAAAGAGTCGTCGACTTGTGTTATCCACCCTGGAGCACCCGACCCGCCCAGCCCGACTCGCGGGCAGTTGTGAGTTTTCCCAGGAACTCCATGGCCGACTGCCTGGCTGCAGCGAGGAATTGGCATAGAAAATGGCTGTCATTTCCCTACTAGAGAGTATTATAACTTTGGCATGAAATGTGTAACCTATAGACGAAGATGTCTCTGAGGGTATGTAGTGTATATATTATTTGATAAAGCCGGGCTGATACAGTCCGTGTCCGTCTCCATGCAAATTATTCTCGAATTTCTTTTGCAAGCAGTTAATATGTCCTTATCGGCCAGATGTTTTTCAAGACATCTTGACCAATTACGAAATTTAGCATGCTCTATGCATAATTTTCTATAAACGTATAATATCTTAATTGAATTGGACCACCATATTTACAGCTGTAAAGGAAGAATTGAGTATTTTATGCAAGACTTTTCTGTCTTCAAGATATGATAATCAAATCTGCCAAGCTTATGTGCTCACGTATCCACAATCCTAATCGAATTGGTCTACAATATCATAAGCCTCCTATAGGTACAATCGAGACGAGGTTAAGAATATTGTGTAAGGGTATTAAGTCTTCGGCTAGTCAAAGACATTAAATTCCTTTTTGTTGAAGCAGCTTCTCGTTTTCAACGCGTCCTCAGCGCCAATTCGATGCTTGTTACTCGACGGTCCAAGTTAATGGCCGAAATGAGTTTTTATGGCAACTATTTTGGCAGCGTTTTAAGCCATGCAGTTTATCTATTGGCCCAGAGTAGACCGCTGAGCATATGAGTGGCCCGGTCGCTCGATGCTAATGCAAGTCCGCAAAGTGCCTTGAAGTTGGGCTATTGAAATAATAATTAGAAGCCGCCGAATGCGAATTGCTGCAGTGGACACACACATGCAACACACACAGCACACACACCTGCTTAGGTGTCGTCTCCAAATTAGATGCTGCAGTGCAACCGCTGCCGATGCTGCTCATGCTGCATTTGGCCACTTTGGACTTCAATCCCGTTGTCGATAACTTACGCAACTAAGCTGCATGCCACTCGCTGGTGTGTGGCACACACACACACTCACACTCACATACGCACAGAGTGTGGCTGGGGGCCTCTGCAGCATTTGCATTTAATCGGATTTGTTGTCCAGATTACAGGTACGAGCACACATACATACAGATTTCTGATTTGAGCACTGGGCACACAAAAAGAAAATCACTTGTTGTGTAATATCGAGAGTGTGTGTACCTGTGTGTGTGCGTGTGTGTGTGTGTATTGACCACAACCACTGCCATGACAAATTAACGTTGCTGCCAATTCTTGTTGAGTCTGCCTGCTCCATATTGATCCTCTTGTTGATGCTTCTGCTGTCATGTGGCATATGTTGGATATTTAATACTCTTATAAAGAAGCATAAATACTTTATGATTTGGTTTCTAAGCGTAAGGCTCGTAAGCAAGGCAATTATACTCGAGAGCTTGCAGTACTGCTTGAGAGATCGACAAGTCATTCAGCAAGAACAACTACAAGAAAAGCTCGTTGCAAAATCAACAATATTTGCTTGATTAGAAATTAATATCAGTTTTGTTATATTAGTTTTTTATTTTTACATACTTAAGTCGATAACCAAAAAGTTAAACATTAAAAGACAATTTTTGACATTTATTCAATCATTTTCTTGAATTATCTTTTAAAATTGTTCTTTTTGAGTGTTTCCTTTCAAGGTCCGTTGTCCAGTTTAATTTTTTTGGCTTACTTGATTCGAAATACTTAAGTTACTTAAGAATAAATATATAATAAAATATTTCTTAGAGTATTCATGAATCATCTTTCAGATTATCTTCTTTGTGTATTTCCTTTAAAGCTCTGTTGTCCTTTGGGTTGTTTTTAATGCACTCAGTTTTCAAAGACAATTATATAATGAAAATTTAAACAGTTTTAAAATTATACATTTGAATACTCTTTAAAATGTATTATCTTATGTTTCTTTTTTCGTACTTCGTTGTCTTTTGGCTTGTCTTTGGTGTTCTCAAATATAAAAGTGTATAATATGAAGAGTTCTTTTCGATAAATATTACAAATATTTTGCAAAATTTCTTAAAATATTTGAGACTTTTCATGTCTAGCTGCGTTTTTGGCTTGGCATATTTTTGGCTTTGTTGTTGAACTTAAAAACTAAGTTTTTTTTTAGAAATAGTTAAGATAATTCTTTAAAGTATTTCTAATACATCGCACATGATTTATTTCTTTTAAAATATTATTTTCTTTTGGAATGCTTTCAGCTTACTTTTATGAATGTTATGTTAGCAACGTCCCATTGTTGAACCCACAGCTGAATAATAGATGTACCGAAAGCTGTTGTCTGCTAGGATATTGCCAGCTGAAGGCTAAATAGATGGGCTCTGCGGGCATGTAACAATTGTGCGTGCAGGTAACAAACCGGAAACATGGTAAGCATTTCCGCTTTATATCAAATATAAAAAATGACTGCTTTTAGACATGTTTGACAAAAGTTGTACATCACCAGAGAGAGAGAGAGAGAGGGGGAGAGAGATAGTGTGAGAGGAAGGTATAATTGCATAAATCAAACTCAAACATGTAGC